CCTATTTTACCTCAAATTGTGGACGTAATATTTCCTTTTTAAAGGCCTATCTGTCCAATGTAGGAGTGGAAACGTGTTCTAAGGACCCTGAGGTATCTTCCTAGCAAGTTTCAAGAAATTTCATTTTTTGGCCAAAATTGAAAAAAATGTAAGGGGTTAGCCTTACTTTTTTTCCGATATTGGCCAAAAAATGAATTTTCTCCAAATTACTCAGAAATGCTTAAGGATGCTTTGGGAGCATGATTTAATATTCAGACCGGCAAAATTTGCTAAATTTTGGCCAAAATTATGACATTATTGTGTAAAATTTCATATATTTGACCTATTTTACCTCAAATTGTGGACGTAATATTTCCTTTTTAAAGGCCTATCTGTCCAATGTAGGAGTGGAAACGTGTTCTAGGGACCCTGAGGTGTCTTCCTAGCAAGTTTCAAGAAATTTCATTTTTTGGCCAAAATTGAAAAAAATGTAAGGGGTTAGCCTTACTTTTTTTCCGATTTTGGCCAAAAAATGAATTTTCTCAAAATTACTCAGAAATGCTTGAGGATGCTTTGGGAGCATGATTTAATATTCAGACCGGCAAAATTCGCTAAATTTTGGCCAAAATTGTGACATTATTGGGTAAAATGTCATATACATGTATTTGACCTATTTTACCTCAAATTGTGGACGTAATATTTCCTTTTTAAAGGCCTATCTGTCCGATGTAGGAGTGGAAACGTGTTCTAGGGACCCTTAGGTATCTTCCTAGCAAGTTTCAAGAAATTTCATTTTTTGGCCAAAATCGAAAAAAAATGTAAGGGGTTAGCCTTACTTTTTTTTTCGATTTCGGCCAAAAAATGAATTTTCTCCAAATTACTCAGCAATGCTTAAGGATGCTTTGGGAGCATGATTTAATATTCAGACCGGCAAAATTCGCTAAATTATGGCCAAAATTGTGACATTATTGGGTAAAATTTCATATATTTGACCTATTTTACCTCAAATTGTGGACGTAATATTTCCTTTTTAAAGGCCTATCTGTCCAATGTAGGAGTGGAAACGTGTTCTAAGGACCCTGAGGTATCTTCCTAGCAAGTTTCAAGAAATTTCATTTTTTGGCCAAAATTGAAAAAAATGTAAGGGGTTAGCCTTACTTTTTTTCCGATATTGGCCAAAAAATGAATTTTCTCCAAATTACTCAGAAAAGCTTAAGGATGCTTTGGGAGCATGATTTAATATTCAGACCGGCAAAATTTGCTAAATTTTGGCCAAAATTATGACATTATTGTGTAAAATTTCATATATTTGACCTATTTTACCTCAAATTGTGGACGTAATATTTCCTTTTTAAAGGCCTATCTGTCCAATGTAGGAGTGGAAACGTGTTCTAGGGACCCTGAGGTGTCTTCCTAGCAAGTTTCAAGAAATTTCATTTTTTGGCCAAAATTGAAAAAAATGTAAGGGGTTAGCCTTACTTTTTTTCCGATTTTGGCCAAAAAATGAATTTTCTCCAAATTACTCAGAAATGCTTAAGGATGCTTTGGGAGCATGATTTAATATTCAGACCGGCAAAATTTGCTAAATTTTGGCCAAAATTGTGACATTATTGGGTAAAATGTCATATACATGTATTTGACCTATTTTACCTCAAATTGTGGACGTAATATTTCCTTTTTAAAGGCCTATCTGTCCGATGTAGGAGTGGAAACGTGTTCTAGGGACCCTTAGGTATCTTCCTAGCAAGTTTCAAGAAATTTCATTTTTTGGCCAAAATCGAAAAAAAATGTAAGGGGTTAGCCTTACTTTTTTTTCGATTTTGGCCAAAAAATGAATTTTCTCCAAATTACTCAGCAATGCTTAAGGATGCTTTGGGAGCATGATTTAATATTCAGACCGGCAAAATTTGCTAAATTTTGGCCAAAATTGTGACATTATTGGGTAAAATGTAATATACATGTATTTGACCTATTTTACCTCAAATTGTGGACGTAATATTTCCTTTTTAAAGGCCTATCTGTCCGATGTAGGAGTGGAAACGTGTTCTAGGGACCCTTAGGTATCTTCCTAGCAAGTTTCAAGAAATTTCATTTTTTGGCCAAAATTGAAAAAAATGTAAGGGGTTAGCCTTACTTTTTTTTCGATTTCGGTCAAAAAATGAATTTTCTCCAAATTACTCAGAAATGCTTAAGGATGCTTTGGGAGCATGATTTAATATTCAGACCGGCAAAATTTGCTAAATTTTGGCCAAAATTGTGACATTATTGGGTAAAATTTCATATATTTGACCTATTTTACCTCAAATTGTGGACGTAATATTTCCTTTTTAAAGGCCTATCTGTCCAATGTAGGAGTGGAAACGTGTTCTAGGGACCCTGAGGTATCTTCCTAGCAAGTTTCAAGAAATTTCATTTTTTGGCCAAAATTGAAAAAAATGTAAGGGGTTAGCCTTACTTTTTTTCCGATTTTGGCCAAAAAATGAATTTTCTCCAAATTACTCAGAAATGCTTAAGGATGCTTTGGGAGCATGATTTAATATTCAGACCGGCAAAATTTGCTAAATTTTGGCCAAAATTGTGACATTATTGGGTAAAATGTCATATACATGTATTTGACCTATTTAACCTCAAATTGTGGACGTAATATTTCCTTTTTAAAGGCCTATCTGTCCGATGTAGGAGTGGAAACGTGTTCTAGGGACCCTTAGGTATCTTCCTAGCAAGTTTCAAGAAATTTCATTTTTTGGCCAAAATTGAAAAAAATGTAAGGGGTTAGCCTTACTTTTTTTTCGATTTTGGCCAAAAAATGAATTTTCTCCAAATTACTCAGAAATGCTTAAGGATGCTTTGGGAGCATGATTGAATATTCAGACCGGCAAAATTTGCTAAATTTTGGCCAAAATTGTGACATTATTGGGTAAAATTTCATATATTTGACCTATTTTACCTCAAATTGTGGACGTAATATTTCCTTTTTAAAGGCCTATCTGTCCAATGTAGGAGTGGAAACGTGTTCTAAGGACCCTGAGGTATCTTCCTAGCAAGTTTCAAGAAATTTCATTTTTTGGCCAAAATTGAAAAAAATGTAAGGGGTTAGCCTTACTTTTTTTCCGATATTGGCCAAAAAATGAATTTTCTCCAAATTACTCAGAAATGCTTAAGGATGCTTTGGGAGCATGATTTAATATTCAGACCGGCAAAATTTGCTAAATTTTGGCCAAAATTATGACATTATTGTGTAAAATTTCATATATTTGACCTATTTTACCTCAAATTGTGGACGTAATATTTCCTTTTTAAAGGCCTATCTGTCCAATGTAGGAGTGGAAACGTGTTCTAGGGACCCTGAGGTGTCTTCCTAGCAAGTTTCAAGAAATTTCATTTTTTGGCCAAAATTTAAAAAAAATGTAAGGGGTTAGCCTTACTTTTTTTTCGATTTCGGCCAAAAAATGAATTTTCTCCAAATTACTCAGCAATGCTTAAGGATGCTTTGGGAGCATGATTTAATATTCAGACCGGCAAAATTTGCTAAATTTTGGCCAAAATTGTGACATTATTGGGTAAAAATTAATATTTTACTCGCGGAGGAAATAGAAAAAACGTCAAATGTTGACATGAAACAAGAAAAGTGAAATTTTATGCAAACAAGGAAGCAGGAAGTAAAATTGTGAAGAGCAAAAAAGGTTTCTGTTTTGAAGTATTTTACAATGTTTTATTACTAAAGTTAAAATTACAGATAATCACATAGAAAAGAACGAAAATGAAAATATTGATTTTTTTTCTAACTCCTTACAGAATCATAGGGGACTATCCACCACTTTGGTTTCGGGACATTTCCCGTTGCATTAATTCTTTAAAAGAATAATTGTAGTCAATTACTACAAATTACTTTCACAAATGGTATTTTCGTGCTGGAGTAGGCCAACGATACACCATCCATTTTAAGCCCCGCCCACCACATGTACAACACATAATTCTGGGCTGTCATTGGTCAAAAAGTAACTGGGCGGGGCTTATGGGTCGCTCTAATTTGAATAAATGCATAATTCTTGACGACAGTCCATTGATCACATTTTCGCACTTAAGACGATACACATCTCTTTTTTTTTTTCAATTTCGACAGGATTTCATCCAATAATTCTGTGATTTTTACTTTTAGAAAATCAGAATAAAAAGTCATCGGTACTTGATTGTTTGCAACATTTTGAGGACTACAAAATAAACAAGAGATGGTACAAAGCTAGCATGATTATATTTACAGAAAATCTAAAGGAAAAAATGAATCGTACATATAATGGTTATCACAAACGGTTAATAAATATCGGTAATAAGGCGGAAAGAATCAAGTAACAGAAAAATACACGTCAGAAAAAAAACAAGCACTGTACAAGGTGTAAAAGAACCATTTTCAGAAAAAAATAATAAAAGTATGGGTTTTGCATTGTATTTTATGACTTCCTCAGAAGCACTCAACAATTCGGCCATGTTTTGGTTTTTCGGTTAACCACTTTGCGCTGGGATTATTTTGACATTGACCGGACCCAGATGCGGGATTGTTTTTCATGAACCTCGATGCCGGACGGGTTCAGGCCGTCAGTGGCGGGTAGCTTACCCTGATATGTCCGGCCTCACTCGCTGCGAGCGGGTCGCAGACAGATATTTCCGGCCTTGCTCGTTGCGTGTTTATCCGTCATCCGTTCCGAATAACACAAAATCTTTGCGTGTATACACAGCCTCCGACGTGAACTGGTTAAAGCCAGACCTTTTTAGACCCGTGAATACTTTTTTTTTCTGGCATCATTATTTTTGTTTGTTTATTCTTTGCAACCAATCTTACGAGTTTAATTCAGTGATAGAATACCTTAATAAGTTGGATAAACTTTCATAATCCTCTCCCCACAGGAGGAAAAAAAAAACTGATGTTGATTGAAAATTATCCTAAAATTCCAGCCCTTTGCATTTTGAGTTGTAATACACAAAGTTTTGACCCCAAATGCCAAATACAGATAAGTAAATATTTGTTTGTAAAACTCGATGCCACGGTATTCAACTGTAACATAAAATGCGCTATATGGTTGTGGTATATACACATACATACCGGACAAAATACTGCTTTGCTGAAAAACTTTCTTGCAAGTAAATAATGTTTATACTGTATTCTTAAAGTACTCCTAAATTAACGTAAAAATGAATAATTATAAGTACAAATGAAGAAAGCTGAAAGCGAAAAAGTAAATCGTTGGCGAATCAGAGACTCTGACGACATTTTGGAAGAGCTGCAGACTGGGTTCCATATCAGCAACTGAACACAGGTTGTAAACAATAAATATAAATTTGTCATGCGGTGGGTCGAAAATAAAACAACAAAATTATATTTTTCTCCATTTTTAAGGTGCCAGTATGCTTAAATGCAGGTGAGTTGAGCATTTCAAATATTCATGACTCGTTATTCTCTTGGAAGTTAAAGCAAATTTTTAATTTTTTTTCTCTTGACAAAAGTTCTACTTCAAGAAATTCAAAAAACTATAGAGTAGAGATTGGTCGAGGTTTAAGGCTTAAGACTGGCGGTCATCTACTTCCTTGGTAGTTGTTCAAGTTGTGACCGTACCAGTTGTGGAATCTTCCACGCAGATCACATGGACACACTGTAGCCATCTTGGTCTTGTTCCTCGACTACCAGGCCACCAGTCCACAAACCAATACGTCACTGATACATATACCAGACTTTTTGGAGGTACTTTTCTGAAAATTTCTGTACAGTTTCTCTAACTCGGGTGCTCAAAAAGTTTTTAAACACTTCAGTATTTTGGTTGTTTGGGGACCATCCTGGTTCAGGACACACTTACAATGATATCACAGTGGCCATCTTGGTCTGGTGCCTCATCTCCCTACTATAGGTTCTTTGTATACCAAGTCAAAATGTCAGACACCAGCCTTTCTTTTGCACTAGGTCGGGAACCTGAACTTGAAACTCGTTTCAAACCACACAAGGTAAGTGTAACAAGGCGGAAAGCCAAAGCAGCTACGCTGTACTTGCTCGCAGGAAGGATCAGTGAAGATCACATTCACGGTACACTGTTCAGTTTGAAGGGCGCCCTCAAGCAGTCTTGCACAGACCCAATAAGCACACTACCAGGCCAAACACCTAGCCTGTCTTCCTGTACAAGCCTGCTTTTGTAGAACAAGTTTAGAACCACAAACCTTTGGCCTTTAACAACTGACTTCGTGAATTCTAATAAACGATGATTTCAAGCAATCCTGCAGCACGTGGCAAACTGTTTCTTCACCATCCAAGTTTTGTTTTTTTCCTTCTCCACACTGACAGTTGAAAAACTTTTATAAAAAAAGTCCTGATCCATTCAAGATTCAAAGAGCATTTTCTCTCCACGTCTAAGCGCATTCCTGTCCCCCCGTGTGTCACTGTGTGTGTTCTGCGGTCCGTCACCCATTCCGCTTCGTGAGTTTGGTCAGCTCAGTTCTGCCATTTGTGTATGTGTATGCATAGGAAGCCCATGTGTATGTGTTTAATGACCGTGTCTGGTACCCTACGTCTCATTCTCTCTGTCACTGTGTTCGTCGTCGGTCATGACCGTCACCAGTGTCCCCACCGCCTTGCCGATGTTGTCGGCCATGTGGTGGAGGCTGCCCACCTGACTTGCACCTGTGAAACGAAGAGAACAACTCCAATCAATTATAAGAATGATAGTTGGGGAGTGTGGCCTAGGGGTTAGGTTCGTGACTCACAATCAGAGGGTCAGGGGTTCGAATCCAGCTGCTGGCCGTATGTTGTGTCCTTGGGCAAGCCACTTTACCTCACTTGACTCTCTCCACCCAGGAGTATAAATGGGTACCGGCATTAGCTAAACTCATGATCAGAGGTTCAGAGATTCGAATCCAGGTGCTGGCCATTGTGTCCTTGGGCAAGCCACTTCACCCCACTTGCCTCTCTCCACCCAGGAGTATAAATGGGTACCGGCATTAGCTGGGGAGAAACCTGCGATGGACTAACATCCCATCCAGGGGGAATAGAAATATTCTCAGTCGTTTCATGCTACTGAAACCGGAGATAAATGCCGGCTCGATAGGCCACATTGGCTCGTGACAGACTTTACTTACTTTTACATCTGCAAATAATAGTGGCCCATCTTGTGAAAATCAACAGTAAAGTATAGTTCAATCCAGGCCTGTGATTCCTGCACAATAATACTGCTTACCAGTGGAAGTAGCACCTTTATCGTCGGGGATGTTATTGAGTTCTTTGATGACCTGGTCCAGGTCCACCTTGCCCCCATCCTCTCGGACGGGGTCGTCTTTGAGATGTGGAGGGGTGTGGGGAGAAGGCTGCATGTGGTCTTCACCTGAAACGGAGCAAAACAGTAGAGCAAATTCAGCAAACAAGTGATGATTGAAGAGTAAAAACCTCTAACCCTAGCGACCACAGCAGCCAGAACTTAAATGCAAACGCTAGCCACAGACAGCAGACATTTCTCAACTTGCTTAAGTATTTCACAACCTTGTCACTCTGTCGAGACATTGAATTTCCAAAAACGACCCCCTGGTCTGATGGTTACAGCGTCTGACTCGTGTGTGATGGTACATGGGTTCGAACCCTAACAGGGGAACACAGTGCTTTTGTGTTCTTGGGCAAGACACGTTACTATAATTGTCTCTCTACACCCAGGAGTATGTACGGCCAGACATCAAATTGCGTTGATCTCGAGCTGCTGCAAAAAAACTGGTCATCATGGCCTGATGAACAGGGGTAATAGTTGTGAAGCACTCTGGGGCTTTGGAATAGAGCGCTATATCAGAACCATATTATTATTATCATTATTATTATTATACATGTTAAGGAGGCACGTTATCGTAATTTCTTTGCATGATGGGCATAGACTCTTAAAGTATGTGACTTCACTAAAGGCCCAATCAAAGATGCACTGATGACTCCAACATGGTTTCGATTTGGACTTACCGGCCATATCACTGTCGTAGTCACTGGTGCCCCCGTTGGCCGGTGACCGGGCGGACTCCAAGGTGACGTGGGCTGGCAGCCGGCGGGAGCGAGGCAAGGAGCTGATAGAGGAGGTGGGTGAGACGGCGGGGGTGGTGCGGGAGGAGGAGGCCTGAGACGCGCTGCGGTCTGCCGGCTGGAGAAGATTAGGATCAGAGAAAATCAAAGTTTAAGAAAATGAAAGTTTGTGAAAACTTTGCGTCAAAATGTGACTGGATCCCACAAAATGAGTCTTATTTTTCCTTATTAATTAGAAAAAGTGTTGTAGCTTCATTGAAGTGCAGCATCACCAATTCCATCAGTCCCACCAGTAAAATCTCTCCTTAAGAAACCGCTCCCCGAAGCACCTCCTGTTTAAATTCCAACGAGGAACTATTATGGAGAAAACCAGGGTTCGACCTTATTTTTTTTTTCACTAGCCAGCTGGGCTACTGTAACTGACTCTTAACTAGCCCACGGACATTTTCACTACCCGACATGTTTTTCTTTTATAGAGTGTCTCATAAACAACAATGTGCATACATGTCAAACGTGTATCCTGAGGCAATCTTGTCAAGTTTATTAAATAAACAGATCTAATAATTTGCTTTCTGAATTTAATGATTTATTTCTTCTGTCCTTTCATCTTTGCCGTATCCCAACATTTTTTGACTCGCCTGCCGGGCTACTTAAGGAATAGTTTGACTAGCCCGCCGCTGTTTTGACTAGCATTTGGCTAGCGGGCTACCGCTAAAGTCGAACCCTCTAGTGTGAAAAGGGCTTGATGAGAGGTGGGAGTGAAATCCCACATAACAGTTTTTGAGAAAACCAACAGGATCATGCAGAGACTGAAACCCAATCCACATATTGGCCCAGGCGGGATTCGAACCCGGATCACTGCGGTAGAAGGCGAGGAAAGTACCACTACGCCAACCTGCTACCAAGGTCGTCTAGAAAGTGGCATCCCGAGTCCCAACATGGAGTCCTAAAATCAGAACTTTATGTCATTTCCTAGAAACTGAAGCAGGAAGAAGAAAACCTCCATACCTGTTCAAGGAGTTGTCTGAGTCGTTGTAGCTGAGCTTCCAGCTGCCGGTTGTGGTCTTCCAGGATCTGCATGCGGGCCTCCAGGCGACCCTTGTGTTGTCTGAGCAGCTTGGCCTCCGCTACTAGCTCCGTGTCCCGGCTGGGCGAGTGACGGTAGTCCTCCTCTGAGCTGACCTCGGCACGCGTGTGGTCGTCGTGGCGAAGGGCGCGCAGGCGGTCCAGCTCGGCTAGGAGAGTTCTGAAAACCAAAACAAAGAAAAAGTTGATAAACATTTGAAAGATTTATTTAAAACTTAGTTATTTCTAAAACAACAACCTTTATTCGGATGAAAAGAGAAACGGACTGGAGCACGATTGGAAACTCAGGAGTACAATATACGCACTCCACCAAGTTAACCATTCGGTCCTGAGATGGCGATCTCCCCACATACATTAAATTCTCCTTACCTGTTTTATTCAACCAAGATGAGAATTTGGTTTAATTTCTATAATAATGAATGGAAAGCAATGTAAATTCTCCCTACCTGTTCCTTTCTTCAAAATCAAAAAATTTGAATTAGATTTTAGTGCGATATTTTGGGAAATGCAATGTAAACTCTCTCTGCTTGTTCTTTTCTTCCAAAATCAGGTTAAGGTCATTTGGTAATATTTTGGGAAGCAATTTAAATTCTCCTAGCCTGTTCTCTCCTTTCAACATGAGAAATTGATTCAGTTGTATGTGATATTTAGGACAAAGCAATGTAACTTCTCCTTACCTGTTCCCTCCTTTTAATATGAGAATTTGATTCAGTTTTATGTGATATTTGGGGGAAAGCAAAGTAACTTCTCCTTACCTGTTCTCTTCTTCCAAGATGAGAATTTGGTTTTCTAGTTCACTCCTCTGGTCAGACTCGATAGCTACCACTATTTGTGCAGGGCTTCGCGGCTACGAAAAATCAAGGAATTGAAAACAGTCAATGCTTGATACACATGTACTTTCAAAGTAAACAAAACTTCATCTTTTGAGGAAACGATTCCTCTGGGCCTATTCATGTATCCAGCAAATAGCAATTCACAAATAAAAAAACAAATTTACTTCAAATTAGTGTCATTTTCAATGAGCTGGTAAGCAAAAAATATGTTATGAAAGTTGATGTACTAAGCGAAATTTGATTGAGAACCAGTCAAAACCAATGAATATCATGTAGTATTTGGTTGGTAACCTGTTTAAGCTAAGCAGATCTTTTGTATGGTTAGCGTAATTCTGTGCTTATGAAATTCAGTTTGCGTTTATGCTTACCACAGAAGACACATCTCCTCCTAAGCTCTGGCAGTACTGTGCAATCAACTGGTGCTCATCATCCCTGCAATAATCACAGTAAGTCAGAATGTACATTGAATTACATTGTATTCCATTGTATACATTGTATACATTGTGTTACACTGTATTGCACTGTACTGCATTGTATAACACTCTATTAAATCTTCATGAACGATTAGTTTGCCTATTAGTTCCTGCACCACCCCAAACCGCCCTGCCTGTTACTCCCTGTACCGCCCCAAACCGCCCTGCCTTCTACTCCCTGTACTGCCCCAAACCACCCTGCCTGTTACTCCCTGTACCACCCCAAACCACCCTGCCTGTTACTCCCTGTACCGCCCCAAACCGCCCTGCCTGTTACTCCCTGTACTGCCCCAAACCGCCCTGCCTGTTACTCCCTGTACTGCCCCAAACCGCCCTGCCTGTTACTCCCTGTACTGCCCCAAACCGCCCTGCCTGTTACTCCCTGTACTGCCCCAAACCGCCCTGCCTGTTACTCCCTCTACTGCCCCAAACCGCCCTGCCTGTTACTCCCTGTACTGCCCCAAACCGCCCTGCAAGTTACTCCCTGTATTGCCCCAAACCGCCCTGCCTGTTACTCCCTGTACCACCTCAAACCGCCCTGCCTGTTACTCCCTGTACCACCTCAAACCGCCCTGCCTGTTACTCCCTGTACCGCCCTGCTTGTTACTCCTTGTACCGCCCAAAACCACCCATCATTTGATACTAATTAATGGATTGGACAGGGGATGAATACAGTGTAGTACACATGCACATTGGTCAAAAGGTGCTCCAAACATTACTCTAAAAGCAAATTCGGCAGATTAATTAATAAATCAATTAATTATTTAATCATAACATTTGTGTCTACTTGTAAGTGGCATGTTATAGCAAAATGAGTCAAGTTAAATATTTGATGATTTCAAATGAAACTATGGACCAATTTCTTTGGCAGTTTTACTAGAAATCGTCTTGATTCCTCAAAAACCAACCACGTTTCAGGAACCCAATGGTATAAAAAATTGTAATTGACGTCAAGCCGAATGTAAAGTAAACGTTGATAGTGTCTACCATTCTCAATCCTAAAACCATTCAAAAACATCCTAGTAGACTTTTTAGCATCCACGAGGATTATAGTTAATATTAAATCGGCTCCCAGTTAAAAATTCGCGCATTTCCGTGATAACTTACAAGTCCGGGGAAGGCGTGAGGAACGACCCATGTTGTTCAACTTCGGCTAACCTGAAATTACGGAAATCTAAATGTTAATTTCCAGAAACCTACCTTTTCCCAAAATTGAAAACAAAATCAAAAACAAAAATAAACCATATCGTCTTTGTTATACCACTATGCAAATGTTTAGTTAATGTATGCATCTTGCAAACAAAATTAAAATAAAGTAAACATTAATCGTATTTCTTGTGTTACTAGGTTAAATCGACGAATCAAATGAGCCGTTTCATTCACCTGCTGGCATACAGCTCTAATCTGGTATGCATGTCCTGATTGGCCATCTGCTGTGGTGATGTCACAGGTCTGCATAGCAACAGACAAAAGAAAAAAATGGTTCATGCAATGTCATAGACCAATCCGGCACGTTGTCAATTCTGACACGAAGGCCCCCTCCAATGGCGAAAGCACTGTGCTAGCTATTGTTCAGATAATCCATCACAGGCAGTTGCTTTGTACAATAGCATGTACAATGATTTCTCCATTGAAGGGGGCCTTGTGAGTGTACATGTGCAGTGTACATGTACATGTACATGTACATGTGCAGTGAGTGCACATGTACATGTGCAGTGGGTGCACATGTACATGTGCAGTGGGTGCACATGTGCATGTACATGTGCAGTGATTGAACATGTACATGTGCAGTGAGTGCACATGTACATGTGCAGTGAGTATACATTGTACATGTACATGTTCAGGTTTCACGTGTCCGGTTTGGTCTATAGCCTCACTTGCAATGTCATGCAATGTTGAAGACCGAGTAAATTTATGTTTATTTTTTATATTTTTTTCATGCCACAAACAATGAACAATTGCACAAAATGCTTGGTAATGATGGCAGACTCAACGAAGATTATTTGAAAATGATTTTCATGTTATTTTCTTCGTCACTCTAGTCTGTAGGCTCCGATCGTATGACGTCTAAGTACCGTGTGACCACCACTGTGATCAGCCACCATTGCAGTAGGCAAGCATTTGGTTGGCAACCACGTCGTGCGTTGTAAACTAGACAGTAGGGCTTATTTTCACGTAACATAACCGCAAATTCAGTACAAAATGACATAACTACCTGTGCCATGGTTGTCATAATCATTGCGATCCAGCACTGGGCGTTTGCCCCGCATTTTTCTAAATTTTTCTAAATTTTCTTTATCCATTACAGCTTTGAAGGATTGCCTACTACTTACTCCACGCACCCCTAAACGATCTTTGCCTACTACAATGGCGATGCTGACTTTCCGGTACCAAGATATAGGTCCGGTCACATGCGTCAGTGAGAGCACTATATATATGTCCCACTACTACATTGGAGGCAGAGTCAGAGAAAGGAAGGAAGGGGGACTCACGATTCCAGGTCATCGCCTTCTAGTACTGACTGGACGGGCAGGTAGCCCACCCGCGGATGTTTCTGGTAGTAGCGCTTGGACTTGAACTTATTGCGCACCACTTTGGCAAAGTCCCTCACGTCTTCTCCCGAGGTAGTCTGATGAGAACAAAAATGAGAGACAAAACTTCAAGGCATATCGAAAATCATTTGCATTTTATTTCAAAAGTAACCTACCAAATAAGTATCAAAAAGCTTACTTTGAAATAAAACTCGTACTTTTTGTCCATCCAAATATTGGTTAAAAATGTATATATAAACTTACTGTTGTACAATACTCCTGCATGGGGTGGGAGTGCTTGTGGTTTTTGGACACTCGTCCTGAGAAGAAGCAGTTCTGCAAGACATAAACAAGGAAATATTAAGAACATTTGACCAGGGTTGCCGGGAGTAATATAAACATACTGGAACGTCCAAGTTGGATTTCATATCATTCTTTTTTTGCGAGAATATTTGATCAGTTGATTTATATTTTTATGTCACAGATTTTACCTAGATTTTTGTGGTGGGAGTGTGGCCTAGTGTTAGGGTTCATGACTCATGATCAGAGGGTCAGGGGTTCGAATCCAGCTGCTGTGTCCTTGGGCAAGCCACTTTACCCCAACTTGCCTCTCTCCACCCAGGAGTATAAATGGGTACCGGCATTAGCTGGGGAGTAATCTGCGATGGAAAAGCATCCCATCCAGGGGAATAGAAATATTTCTACGAATCCTGCCACTGACTAATTGTGTCCTTGGGCAAGCCACTTTACCCCACTTGCCTCTATCTACCCAGGAGTATAAATGGGTACCGGCATCGTCCAGGGGGAATAGAAATATTCTCAGTTGTTTCATGCCAAGGAAACCGGTGATAAACACCAGACTGACAGGCCACATTGGCTCAGGACAGACTTTACTTTAATTCCTTATGTGCATAGTGAGGTGGAATTGTTCATGTGCTTGAACCAGTGGTCACAAAGGAAGATCTACTGTTACATTACATTCAGTGGATGACCGAGTAAAAGTGGAGTGTCATGGCCTAGCGGTTAAGAGCACCGGACTCGTGTTCTGATGTTTCAGAGGCAACAGTGACGTGGGTTCGAGCCCGCCGGCAGTAAGCAAGGCACTTCAGATGGGACGTAAAGTGTGTTGTGTAATGCACGTTAAAGAACCCAGTAACACTTGTCGCTAAAAGAAGGGGTTTGCCCTGGTGTACTGGCAGAGGCCGCAGCACCTTGTAAACCCTTATAAGGCGCTACATAATGGGTCTCATATCTCTCATGTACTTCATTCATCTAACAATAGACATAACTCCCAGTGCCTTGAGTACCTATACTCCATTGCGATAATGCCTAAATAGGTTTCTGCAACGCAACCATACAGACAGACAGACAGACAGACAGAAGTCACCCACCTGGCACATGTCAAAGTTGAAGCACTTGAGGCAGCGATACCTCAACCCGATAATGGGGAACTCCTTACAGACGTTGCACTTAGCCTGGTGCTTGGCGGTCTCACCGGCCGCCATGCGGTGTAAGACGGGCATCCAGACCATGGATTGAGGCTCCAACTTCATCCAGGCGAGGAACTGGGGCGGCTCGATGTGGGACTTGCCTCCGCTCTGAAACAAGGAGGAAAAAACGATAAAAATAATGTTTATTTTGAAGCTGAAAACAAAATTGACTGGAGCAGAGCTTGAACCTGCAACCTCCGGACTACCGTTCCGGTGCTCTACCAACTGAGCTATCCAGCCCTATGTTGGCGGTTCCCCATCTTGTCAATGTCTTTGGCTAGCTCAGTTGGTAGATCCCAGAACAGTAATCCCAGATTTTGCAGATTCAACCCTACTCCAGTGAATTTCTTTGTTCAAATTCAAAATAAACATTAGCACGTTTTCAAAAATAATGTGAATTGGATGAAAATAACACAATGATGGGCTTGAGGAATTTAGCAAGGTAATAAAAAAAAATTGATTTCAAAATTTGGAATCGGAATTGCGGCTCAATTTTGGTCAAGAACTGAGGACCTGGATCGGCTGATGTTAGTTCCCTGAGATTTGATTCCAGGGATATCATAACAATTCTGATGATGGGCTGTTGGAGTCAATTTGTAAAAGAATTGTGGATGAAAATATAATCGTTCAGACCGAGAATAACTTATCATTGAGACAAAGTGTCTTGCCCATGGACACAAGCACTGCAAACCTTCAGGCGGGACTTGAAACCACAATCTGCAGAATTATCAACGGATTTTGAGCCCTGCACTCTAAATCAGGAGTGGACATGGCTTGTTTGGGTGGTGGTAAAGGGGGGGGGGAGGGGGGAAAGAATGACCATGGGATGGTGTAAATGATCCAAGGTTCCAAGGCGAAGTCCTCCCTCACCATATTGAAGCAGCTGCGAACGCTGGGCTCAATGTTGCTCCCGCCAAAGGACGCAACCTCCCCTAGTTGCCGTGGTATCTGGATGCAGTCATGGAGCAGGAGGCCCAGACCTCGCTGGTCGATGAAGCCATTGTTGTTGGCAACGCATCTCACAATATCTGATAGATGGTTAACAAAAGAAAACGAGTATAAATGTGATGAAATGTGACGTGTAAAATCTGATGACGCATACCTTTCACTCGAATAAATGCACGGGATTCCCTGAACAATGCAGAGTGACGTCTTAGGAAAGTTCAGATATGAGGTCAAGTCCATCAATAGTCAATCGTTACTTAAAGGTAATGTACAACATTTGCTTTTGCTGCAAGTTTCAGAAATAAATGGATTTGGAGGATTAGTATGTTATAGCAAATATTGTTAAAATGACTTGTTTCACGATTTGGGCTTGTAGATGCTGGAAAAACCAAGAAAACCAATCATGTTCTTGTAGTCTGGTTCCCTGACCCCACTTAAGATGAAACAGAGCAATGTATAACCTTTGCGGAATTGTAAGGTCAGAGAATCAGTTTAGCAGGCTTGTACCCCTTCACAGGTGTGTAATCAATTGCAAAGAAAACGCGGCATAACTAATTATGAAAACTAAGAAGCACTTTTTGAAAAAAGCCAGTTTTCTCCAATGCTTGTCGGCCGACCAGCGTTGGAAAAATCCCATTTTTCTTGAAAATGACAGCACACTAGGAGCCACGATTTTACAGAATGTTTTAGACTGTCATTCCCTTACAATCCAGTAAGGTATTTCGTGATAATTCGATCATTTCGTTTTGTGATGTTTGCAGATGTTGTATCTTCCCTTTAAATCCAGAGTAATCCCACAAAAGCTTACAAGTAACATGGCCTAGTGGTCAGGGCATTGAATTCGCGGTCTGCGGGTAATGCTGCAGAATGTGGGTCCGAGCTCAGCCTGGGCTATGGCACTTCTACGCCTAATATGGGTAGAGGCATTATGAATGCCTTGCAGTGGACTAGTTACCCATCCCAACCCTATTCATACTGTGATTAGAGATTAGATTATCTTGTCTTGTTTCAGTGTGAGGGGCTAGTTCTTACACACTTTCCTCTGAAGCCCACACCTCAAGTGGCCTTTTGGCTTGTGACGGGCAATTTATAAAAAAAAACCTAAAAAAAACAAACAATAAGAAAGGCATGCGATTCTCACAGAAAACACATTTCTCTTAAAAGTGTGAAACTTCAGAGTCCATGTCCCTGGAGCAAAATGAAAACTGTTAAGGGACGTCTACATCATGACCGAGACCTAGGTGCCGACACCTCCCCGTGACCTCCTAGTCAAGATCCCTAGAGGATGTTTCAGGAGGAAACCAACCAAGTACCAAGTACCAACTTATTCCCAAGACGAAAATGATTGGTCTGTAATTTTTTTCAAAAACATTCAGATGTTTTTTCCTTCACGATTTGGGGAATTTGTTGAAATAACTCACATCTGTACTTGTCCTCCAGGTGGGCTTTGCTGAGGATGATGATGGCCAGTTTGAAGGACAGCGCCCTCATGCGGCCGCTACGCACCCTGTAGGGAAGGAATAACCGAGATGGTTTTGGTTATGGTTATAGAGATGGTTCTAAGGCCGAGTCTAAATTACACTGAGTAGAAAAATATACTTGGCAAATCAGAGTACAGGATAAGCATCATCATCAAAGCAAATAAGATTTCAAAATTATCGAGGGCATTGCCTGTCCTCATATACACGTGTGATATGAGGACAGTTGCTAGTCTAAGTAAGGATGATTTGTGGTCAAGTTCTTCAAAAGTCCTCACAAGTCTATCACAAGTCCACCAAAGGTCCATCACATGTCATTCACTCTCAAGTCAATTCACAAATTATTCCAATGAGATGGTGACACAGGCATTCCTATGTGATCGCTCATCCCCGATTCTTGGGACCAGACTTTAGACTGGACATCAGGGCCCAATTTCACGGCGCTGCTAAGCACACGATTTTCTGCTAACAGAGCCTCCGTCTATTTCATGGAGACCGTAAAGCATAAGCACAGCAAAAGACACGCTTACTTCAGAGGAAAAATTTGCTTAACTTAGTGACTTATCAATAGAAATCCCCATGCACGTACGACCGTTAGCACACACAGGCCGAGAAAAAGTGCTTAAGGTAAGGCCAAAAAAAAAAAAATATTCGGTCTCTGGTCAGACCAAAGTTCCGGAATTGACGCGGCCACGCGGCTTTTTTTTTTTTTTTTTTTTTTTTTTTTCTTCAAGCTTGGATTGTACAGACAAGGTGGGTACTATTTTGCTTTTTTGGTGTCCTTATGTACATTGGTGTCCTCCATAATTTGCCTTGGTGCTTTCGATTATTTGCCTTGGTGCAATTTCCCATTCCTTGGTGCTCTTTGGTAAAAAAAAATTGAGGTGTGGAAATAGAGGGCGCTGTTGGAGCTACCGCGGAACGTTTTGGAAAAAGAAAAAGATCGACGCGCATGATTAAAATCGACGCGCGCGCTGACCAGAGACCGACTTGTTAATTTTTTTGGCCTAATAGCAAATTTTTCTGCTATGCTGAACACAACTTTTCTGCTAACTGTTAAGCAGCGCCGTGAAATTGAGCCCTGTCTGATGGACTCGACACTGCAACACTGCTACCTACGTGTCATAGACATTGAGGAGCCAGTTCAGGCACATATCAACACATTGAGGCACCACCACCAAGGTGGGATGGTCAGCTGCGATGGCCTCGTAGAGGGTGGTCAGGAAGGCGATGATCTCGTTGACGTCTAACGTCCGGTCCGTGGAGGAAGACAGGATCTCATGCTGCTGGAAGATCCTGTCGGCGGTGTTCATGCTTAGTAGATCAACTGGGGGGAAGAACAATCATAAGGCAGTCACAGGTCAGTCTTAAAGCCATCACAGGTCTGTCATAAGCTTTATCAGTTGATCATAATTCATTACAGGTGATCACAAGTCATCACAAGTCATCACAAGTCAATCACAAGTCATCACAAGTCATCAAAAGTCAATCATATGTCAATCACAAGTCAATCACTAGTTAATAACAAGTTATCATATGTCCACCATAATTCAATCACACGTCTATGATAAAGCAATCACAATTCAGTCACAAGTCAATCACAAGTCAACACAGATCAATCACAAGTCATCACAAATCATCACAAGTCAATCCAGATTTCACAAGTCAATAATAAGTCAGCACAAGGCAAGCAGAGGTCATCACAAGACGTCACAATTAGTTAATCACAAGTTATCACAAGTCATCACAAGTCATCACAAGTCATCACAAGTCATCACAAATCAATCACAAGTCATCACAAGTCGATCACAAGTCATCACAAGTCATCACTAGTCAATCACAAGTCATCACAAGTCATCACAAGTCATCACAAGTCAATCACAAGTCATCACAAGTCATCACAAGTCATCACAAGTCATCAATAGTCAATCACAAGTCATCACAAGTCCATCACAAGTCATCACAAGTCATCACATGTCATCACAAGTCATCACAAGTCAAACACAAGTCATCACAAATCATCACAAGTCAGTCACAAGTCATCACAAGTCATCACTAGTCATCACTTGTCAATCACAAGTCATCACAAGTCATCACAAGTCAAACACAAGTCAATCACAAGTCATCACAAGTCATCACAAGTCATCACTAGTCAATCACAAGTCATCACAAGTCAATCACAAGTCATCACAAGTCATCACATAGGGTAAATACTTACAGCAGAGTGCTTTTTGTAGTTTTCGAAGCTTCATGGCGGTTCGGTAAGCAGAGAACTTGACGGCGTTCAGCTCGCCTAATGACTGGAAGAGCTCGGTCATCTTGGGATGGTCCCAGTGAGTTGTCTCAGTGGCATGACTGACGACGAAACAAACAAACAATGGTTGTATAAGTACAAATGTGTGAATGTAAATATTCAACTGTTAACTCTTTAAGTGCCAAAGTCGTACATGTACGAGGTATATTTGTTAGTTTGAAACTGTCAACCTCGTACATGTACGAGGTAATTTGTACTTAAAATCGCCAAACCGCGTACATGTACGAGGTAGAGTAAGCATGTTATCACAAGGGGGCGCTCTCGCTCTTTCTAATAATATCATTTTCATTCAGGTACGACCTGCATTTATTTGTTTCATTTGAATTCTTGCGAGAGGGCGCAGCACTGACACTCGTATTTTCTGCAAAAAAGTGTGGAATTCCCCTGTGTGCAGGACAGTGTTTCAGGGTGTATCACTATGTATGTGACTACTATTGACTTTCCAATGTACCAAGGATATACCAGAGAGCAACAACAACAAATTTAGTGAGTAAAACTTGTTTACTTTTTTTTTTACGGAATTTTGAACAATTAAAAAAAAACGCTCGAAGTTGGGCACTTTAGGGTTAAACATTTCAAATTTCGTGGGCACTGAAAGAGTTAACTGCGCCCAAGATCTTTTGTGCAAAATCAGTGGCAATATCATGAGGAATTGTGGACCCCAAATTTATAGAATGACTTATACACCTGTTAGTAAAACCAAATTAGCTGTTCCACTTACTTGATGTAATAGGGGACTTTGTTGCCAGCAACTGCCCTCTCCCACGGATGCTGAACCGAAACTGCAAATAAAACAAAACCGACACAATCAATACAGACCTTTTAAGTTGCGGATTTTTCCCAATGTTTTCTTTATTTTAATCTAGTACTCATGCCTAAGCAAGCAATGCAAAACCACTGCCTTCCGACTCCGCCTTAACGCATCAGGTCTATTGTAGCATATGGAGACAAATAAAAGTCCCTGATAGCAAAAATATTAACCTAAATATTTCTGGTTGTGTAAAAATCTGAGGCTGGACCCAGTTGCTGAAAGCGAGAAAGGTCATCATCCCTTTCTCATCATCCGCCGTGGTCAGATCAGTTTGAATTTCATGGTCCCACAGGAAGAATAAATATTGGTTTATGATGATGTCCAGAAGGTCAGTTTGGGTGGTCATTTTTATTGCACCCAATTACCCAGCGCAGAGTGACAAAATCTATGAGTTTAGGACACCCTTTAAGAAAGATAAGGGAGGTGAAAAGTGAAGGGAACCAGAGGAATTTGTTTTTGTATCTAAGCTATGTACAATGTTCCCTATTGCCGATTTCTGTAAAAAATAAAAGGGGAGCATAGTTTCCAAGTTCTGTTTTAAAGGTAATAGGATAATTGCCTTTCGTGCATTGAGAAAAAAAACGAGGAAACTCCAAACCACACAAGACTTTGTACAATAGTTTTCAATTTGTAATGGATTCATGAGAAAAAAGAAGGAAATTAGTGGATCTGAGGAAAAGTTGCACGCCTGTGTCTTCACTTTGTAAGGACTCACCTCGGAGGAAGTGTTGGGACTGCGGCCCGAAGTCCCTCAGCGCCTCGTTCAGCAGTTTCCCCCGCTCCTCAACCGAGATCTGCAAGAGCTTCCAGCGCTTGAACAGGTCTTCCAAGCGGCTCTGGTTGACCGTGCTTAGCGTGACGGCCGCGGGGGGGAACTGGGCGGCCAGCTGGGAGAGGTGGTCCACGTCTCGCTGGACCGGAGATATTCTCTCTTGGAACCGCTACAAAATTATTGACAATTTCACATTTTTAAAATTCATGACGTACTGTCTGTGATATTTATGATATTAAAAGTGTCTTTGTTTATTTTGAAATTGCTAATTTTTTAAAGCATTGCTATTTTTTTCTTTGTTCGTTTGGTTTCCGAAGAAATTTTAACAGACATGTCTTCTACCTTGACTTCTTCTATGTGCTGTGGCAAGCTATCAATGATCAGATCCCCGACCATCCGCCATCTTGACTTCAGTGACTCTGCCTCGTGTAGCTTAGCGTTCAGCTCATCCATGGCTTGGTGAAAGCCAAGCATTTTCTGTATTAATAAAAAAGGTCCAAAAAGAGCAGTGTTCACTACATGCACCTATCACCCAGTACTCAATTACACACTCGCCAGCGTGAAAAAAGCCAAATCTAAATTGATAGTGTAAGTTGGAATTTCAGTTGTTTTTAAATGGATACGTTGGGAAACTAAACAAAATTTAGATAGATTGCCTTTAGGCCAAAAAAAAAAAGTCCCCAGTTTCTGGTATGCGCGCGCGTCGCCGTAGCCATGCCCGTCGGCAAAATGAAAAAGGTTTTTTTTCAATGAAAGATGATGTCTCAAAACCGCCAAACTCACTGGTTTGACTGGAATCCTGCTGCTGCAAAATTTTAATGTGTTTTTAGATTGGGTTATGGTCGAGAATAAGCTTTATGTGGCCTCTCTGGACTCCCATATATTTGCACTAAGTTTAGTCGGGCACCATTTGCAGTCATCAGCCGACATTTGAAGCAAAATAATCAGGTAAAAAAAAAAAAAGCCGCGTCGCCGCACCACTTTTTGGGCAAGCTCCTTACCAGAAACCGGAGACTTTTTTGGGGGGCCTTAGGCATTATTGGTTGTTTTTTAGGTTTCTTGTCTTCAACCTTGTTCTAGGGCTGTGCATCAGAACTGGGTACTCAGGTACTGATCGCTGATGTCAGGAACCAGTTCCAGATTATCGGATCAGGAACTTATAACCAACTTTACAAATTACTTAGTAACTTCTCAGACAATGAAAAAGATTCTAAATGACATTTGTGGGGAATTTTGTTGTTTTTTTTAATCACTTTATAACAACATTGGTAATTTTGCAGCGTTATGTTGGCCGGGATGAGGGAAAAAGGGACGAGGATTCACAGAGATGCCAACTTTACAGACTACAAAATAGTAATTATTCTTCCTGCAAAGAGTAATGCTAATGTAAATACATAGAACAGTCAAGTTTAAGAGTAACCACAGTACTTTTCTGAGTAACCACAATGTTGGCGTATAGGACAGCTGGAATTTTCAAGAGCAGTAACATGCATTAAAATCCTAATAATTACTCCAAAAGAGTAATGGTTGGCATCTCTGGATTCATAAAAGAAAATAAACGCTTACCGCTAGGACATCGTCCAGTCGCTTCTGCCAGTGCTCCGTCCGGCCGTTCAGTTGGGCCCACTTCTCCTGCAAGCTCGACACGCTCTGCCGCAGGTTCTGCACGATCTGCCTGGCTTGGTCCTCGGCGCTGGACGCCGGCTCATCTAGACTGGCCGTGGAGTCGCTGCCCCGAGAGCTGAGGGTGGCCGCATCGCTGGCGTTATCGGCGGTGGTCGGAGCGCCGTGTTCGGTGAGATAGAGACGGCCCATCTGGATGTTGCGCTCGACGGTGGGACGCTTCTCCTCTAACTGACTCTTGAAGATCTGATAAAACAACAATTTAAACTTCAGAAAAGCGAATTTGACTTTGCGATGATACAGCAAAAAAATGTGCTGTAAACTCAAAATTGTCAAAGACAAATGAAATCCGGCACATTTCCATGTGGCTTTCTCACGACGACACATTTGCTTCACATCTGCATCCATAGGAAAGTGTTCACCAGCATTAGGGAAAATGTCAAGAAAGAAAATGATTTTCAAACACTCTCCCCTTCGACTTAGTTTTTTTGTGTTCTTTTCCAGTGTCTCTTTTCCCCAAATCAACAACTTTCTTGTTTACAAGTTTTCACCATTCCAGTTTGAACACTTGAAAGCATGCAATATTTCACCACAGACAAATATTTGTTTAATTATTCATGTTTTAATGCAAAATCGCCCGGACCAAGGCTATAAGCCACTCCAGGTACCGGGCTACCGGGGAAATAAACAGCAGAGTAGGCACTCAGGAAAAATGAAGGTAGGAATTAACATTCCTCTTGAAACAGGACGGATCGTAGGTTGGAGGCAAACAAGCACCAGGCAAGGAATTCCAAAGAGATACAGCACATGGGAAAAACTGTTGGAATATCCTTTTATTCTACATTTAGGTACTGCGATGGTATATGGATGAGAACAGGTGGAAAGTTGAGTTTCTCTCTCGAATACTCTGATTGGAGGAACCATTTTCTCTCTCAAACACTCTGATTGGAGGAACCAGGTTGAATAGACTAGTGTAGCAATGACCATGAAACTAAAAGAGTTCAAGTTAAACCGCTAAGCAGAATTGTCAACCTTGTGTTCAACAATTTTGAACCAATATTATCATTCTTTTCCTTCCACAGGTAAAGAAATCGCTTAGCAGTTTTGCTTACCTTGTGGTCTTCGTTTTGCTGTTGCACCGTGTTGTAGTCTCCTCCCACGGGTTTCTTGGAGGCTAGCTCCTCCTCCTTTAAGCGGATCCATTCTAGGAGATCCTGGAAGGCCTTTAATAACGTGCTCCACTCCTCCGCATTGGCTTCAAGGCGACGCCTAAAGAGAAAAAATTGGTATCAATGAGCGATGATATCTCTTTCACATGGGACAGGAGGAGAAAGATTTCATGGAGCAACTACATGTAAGAACATATTTAGTTGAACGATACTTGTAAAGTCTTAGGGCAAGACTTCCAAAAATATTTACAAACTTATTGAAAACAAAGTTTACTAGTAATATAAAACATTTGCCTTTGCTGTAATTTTCAGAAATGAATGGATTTGGGGTTGAATATGGTATAGCAAATATTGCTACACCGACCTGTTTAAAATTTTGTGTTCATAAATGCTGGAAAAACCAAGAAATAAAGTGCTGTTCTTGTAGTCTGGTTTCCTGACCCTACTTCAGATGAAATGGAGCAGTTCTTTATTATTATTATTATTATTATTAAAGGGGTCTATCTTTGCTTACATGTAGGTCAAATCACTGACTTTAATCATTTTCATCAACAAAATTGATATTGACAGTTTCCTTTAAAAACACATCTCAGGTTACAACAATGCTTGATAGTGCAAAAAACTCACAAACTAATAAAACTGAAATACCTCAAATGTTTCGAAAATAATTCGAAGGCGGTTTCATAAAGTATGCTCAAATTTGGGCATGCATTTATCATCCTTGATATAAACAACATGGAGTTTTGGGCTGAAAAAAAAATCAACACACAGGAGTTGGTTATAAGACGAACTCAAAATATTTATCCCCAAAATAAGGGAAAAGTTGACGAAGAAAAGTAATCAACATTGGCGGGAGAGGAATTTCCTTTGATTCCGACACAGGAATGTGTCATCAAACATCTGTTTCCTGTCAACACATGAAGTTTTTGGGGACAGATGTTTTGCATAAAGCTTCTAAGTCGAAGGAATTTCACAATTATTTTCATGATTTTGCCCGGCTTTCTGTCCCCTGCAATCAAGAAGCAATTCCAAAACTTATTTTGAGGACAGATGTTTTGCATGAAGTACACTCAGTGCTAGGAATTTCACAAGTTTTTCCTTAGTTTGTTTGGCAATTTCTCGGCCATCAAGAAGTCATTTTTAAAACTTATTTGGAAGGCTGACTCACGGCCATTAAATCTGGCCTTTCCACAACCGATTACGGAGGAAATTGGGATGAAAACAAAAACAAAAAAACAAGCAATCATGAAAAAATTTTCATCAGATCGTCAGAGCAGCTTGGTAGGAGAAGTCCTCAAGATATTTCAAATCAAACCACATTCGCATCCAATACAAACAACAGCTGTGTTTCACATCATGATCAACGTTTGTACATTTCTGAAGTTCAAAACTCATCACTTGTATGGTCACTGCATGTAAAAGGGCACTCAAAATTTGAACCATCTTTTTTTAAATTCCACGCTGTGATACATATCCAAAAACTCTTTCCTAAAAATGAATGCATGGCTTTGGAGAGTTGAATTTTTGACGAGGAAAAAAAACCCCAATACACAAAAGAGGATTTAAAGCAACAAAATTAAATATTATCCTTATGTCCCCCCTCCCACAACACCAGATTTTTCAGCAATGCGATGCTATAATAAACTCCAATACAAGTCCTCACAAGTCAATCGCATACCCATCGCAAGTCTATCGCAGATCAATGACCAGGGGTGAGATTAAGAGAGAACGAAAAATCCTCAAAATAATCGCCAGAGGTTTTGAGGCAACCAAATCTCAGAGCAACGTAGGGTCTATGGTGTGTTTGTATATGAATTTGTCTAAAGGCAAAATACCAATTGCTTTTCATATATATAAATTTGTCTAGATAAGAACACCTTTATGGTAAAACCTTAGAAATTCCAGATTTTGAGAAGAATTCATTGAAAATCCTGAAATCAGAAAAAAAAAACAACCTGACAAAATATCCTAAAATCATGACAAGAATCGGAAAAAAAATGTTGCAACCTGACGCCACTTGTTTCTTCACATATCATCTCAATAAAGGTCAGTCATTGCAAAAAATGATGATAAGACATGAATCTGGGACTGAGAAACATTTCCAATTTTGTTAGGAAATACTTAGAAAATGTTCTGGACTCTCCATAGACTTTGTTCACAACCACAGAAGTGGCGTCAGGCTGCAACATTTTTTCCCCAAGAATCCTGAAATCAGAAAACATCCGGACAAATCTCACCCTGAATTACAAGTCACTCAGTCCCAAGTCAAGTCACGAGCTATTCTAAATGAATTCATCTCCTGTTACTTTTGACAGGAGTTTGTGAATTGGTTTTTAGTGATTACCTTGCGGCCGGATTTGTGATTGACTTGTATTTTATTTGCAACTAGAGTTGTGATGGACTTGTGATGGACTTGACAACAGCACCTATCCAAGTCTTATTCCTCGTTAGCTTGTCAAGACATCTTACCTGATCTCCGTTGACTTCCCTTGCAGCTTGTTCCATCTCTTGTTCATCTCCTCCAGACGTTTCTGCAGGACCTCCGTCTCCTCCTTGGGCTCCCCGCTCTTGAGCTGGGTGCTGCCCGCATCGTTGAGGGACGAGAAGACATTGTGGTGGGCTTCTATCTCTGCTTGGAGATCCTGCCAAATGGAAAGTAAATACAAACAAAAACGATAAGACAAGACTTTATGCCTTCTTCATTTTACAACTTTGAGCGATAATTTCTAATTCTTTTTTTTTTTTGGAGTGCCGTGGTCCAATGGTTACGATGTTCGACTCATGTGCTGTGGTGCGTGGGTTCAAACCTGACGGGGAACATGGTGCCTGTGTTCTTGGGCAAGACACTTTACTACGATTGCCTCTCTCCATCCAGGAGTATCAATGAGTACCTGTGAAGGTAGAGACCAGATTGCGCTGATCTCGAGCTGCTGCAGAAAAAACACGGTCTCATGGCCTGATGATCAGGGGTATTAATTGCAATGCTCTTTGAGCCCTTTGGCTTAAAGCGCTATAATAACACCACATTATTATGATTATTTTTTAACAAATCAAAATGTTACTTTGGGGATTTTTTTTATTTTTATTTTGTACAAATGCACAATTGTAAGGGAGGCGTCAGGAAAATGCTGTCCCTGATCGCCTGCAGGGTCACCGTGCACCTTGATTAAAGCTCAGATAGTGGGAGGACAACATTGTTTAGATGCAGAACTCAGCAGGATGCTGACTGAGAGAGACAGGTGCGAACATCCAACCTCCAGGAGCAGATCAGCAAGAATGATAGAACAGTCATCGCTAACAACAAACCTCCTACTTAACAGCTCTACAAATGTGTCAATTCAAAAAGTTATGTTCATATGTTGAAAAGTGTGTGTACTAATTCTAATACACATTAAGACATTAAGAGAAGAATTTAATAAAATGAAAACTGATAACATATTGTACCACTTATAAAGACCTGTAGAGAAATGTAATGCATCATAGTCACATAGTACCATATTACATGTACGGTATTGGACTCATGTGTTCTAAGCAGACAAGGACCACGGTACTTGTGTTCTTGGGCAAGACACTTTACTACAATTGTAGGAGTGTAATGCAATGGTACCTGGTGAACAGATGCAAATTTTTCAAACTGCTGCTTAAGACTGACCTCATGGCCTGGGCCCAATTTCATAGATCTGCTGAAGCACAAAACTTGCTTAAGCACGAAAAAACATTGCTTAGTAAAATTAGGTTACCGGCCAAAACTCCATGTGATGTACATTGCTTGTGACCGGTATTTAGCTGTTGTTTACTTAGCATAACAATTGCATGGAATTTGGCCGGTAACCTGATTTTATTAAGCAAGATTTTTTGTGCTTAAGCAAATTTTGTGCTTAAGCAGCTGTATGAAATTGGCCCCTGATGAACTGGGGCTATAATTGTGCAGCACTTTTGTAATATGGTTGTTTAAGGCATTTTTTATATACAGTGTACATGTAGGAACTAATTATTATCAAAATGTAAAATAGCAATTTTTCAATGTTACTTTGTGCCACTGTGTGCAACACTTAGCACCACTAATAGTACATTTATACATACAATTCAGTTTCCTGAATACCGTACATACATGTACACTACTGCTCATAAAGTAAATTGTCTCACAAAACTCAATTCTAGAACCAGAAACTGAATTTTGCAACAGGATTTGATGCTGTTGCAGGTTCATTTTAGCGAAACAGCCTCACCTTCTCAAAAATTCGCAAGAGGTCCTGCACCACCAAGTTTATCCTGAGCATAACTTTTAAGAAATCCAGTCCAAGGAAAGAAAACCAAATGGAACCCCTGCCTTGTTCTTTAACAATCATCAGCATCCCTCCTCCTCCTTGGAGACTCACGCAGTGCTAAGATATCATCAGGATCGCATCCCTTTGCCATGGTAACAAATTCTAAGCATCATAAAAAAAAAGGCTGGTCCGAGGAAAGAAAACCAAAATTGAACCCCTGCTTTGCTCCTTAACAATCGCCAGCATCACTTCTCCACGGAACCTCACGCAGCGCTAAGACATCATCGGGATCGCATCCCTCGCCACGGCAACAGTGAGGATGATGATGATGGTGGTGATGATAGGAGGACAATGATGAGTTGACAACTGTTTAGTATCATCAGGGGCCGAGCACTCACAGCAGCTGCATACCACAGTAGGAGGGCAGATACTAAGCCAATCCGGCCTTCTGGAGTTGACGAATTAACCCGGCAAATCAACTAACTTACTGCTGCAGAATACGGGTCACACCCCCTGCCGTTTCTCCTCAACAAATTGCCGTGCCGACTCGCAACCTGAACACCGATGTACTCGTCTTCCGTAACATCTTTCAACCGTGAGCAAGCATTGTCATACACTCCCACCCCTGTTTATAAAATATTAACGGCCTTTTGGGGTCAAATTGATAGCCCATGAAATTTTTAATTCACACGGGGGAAATTTTTTACCAAAGATGAATGGACTAAAAATAGGCTGTATGTTTGCCTTTTTTGATGCTGCGCACTTTCAGTTGCCGGCATAATGTGTATAAATATACAGCTGGTGATAAATAATAAAACTGACTGTTACTGTTTTCATGTTCGTAGTGCGGCCGTATGAAATAAAATGCCAAATACCATCAATTTTTTTCTCTCTTCAGAAATGTGACATCCTACGTCAATCTTCAGGCCATAAAAGATTAAAATACAAAAATGTAAAAACACAAAAAAACACCATCCACCAGCAACAGGCCACCGGTAGCTAATAAAAAACAAGAGCCAATAAAAAAAGCTGAAATGACCGTTTAGAGTTGAAATTAACTGCCCATGGAATTTGGCAAAAAGTTGACTACAGATGTGAAAGGTAAAACGTTACGGCAATGACATACATATGAAATCTATAGATGCAGTCCGCAAAAAAGAAATAAATAAATAAATAAACAAATGGTCTGTGGACCGCACGTGTCGCCTTTTTCTGCGGTCGATGCCTATGTTTTGTGTAGTTAAAAAAAGTTACATTGTTGGCCTTCTTAAACGACGACCTCAAATGACCCCTAAAGACCTTTGACCTCCAATTTCAGAAGACTTGTGATGAACCCGCACCCAAGGATCACTCCATCCAAGTGACATGAAAATTACCTATCAAATTCCGTAGACGAAGAAAAATTTGAAGCATATTTGAACAATGACCTCTAATGACCCCTACATGACCTTTGTCCTCAGTCATCTGATGAAGAATTGTGTCTTCCCACCCAAGGGTCACTGCATCCAAGTTTCATCCAAATCCATTAAAGGGAATATACAACATTTGCAAACATCGAAAAATAAAAGTACCAAGTTTTTGCGAAATACCTTAACAGGATGTTGGTAAATGACAGTCTAAAGCATCCTGTAAAATTATGGCACCTGGTATACTGTCATTTTCAAGAAAAGTGGTATTTTTGTATCAATTTCCAACGCTGATCGGCCGATCAGCGTTGGAAACAACTGGCTTTTTTTCAAATACTGGCCCCAATTGACCATTGCACTTGTTTGCAATCGATTACAAACCTATGAACGGGTACGAGCCAGCTAGACTGGTTCCCTGACCTTACAATTCCCCAATGTATGTAAACTGATCTGGTTCTTCTTATATGGAGTCAGGGAACCAGACTACAGGAAAATGATCGTTTTTCTTGGTTTTTATAGCATTTTCGAACCCAAAACCTCCAAAAAGTCAGTGTAACTATATTTGCTTTATATTTCCAACCCCCAATTCCATCCATTTCTGAAAATTACAGCAAAAAGCAAATGATGTATATTCCCTTTAAGGGAAACAGAAGATATACAATTTTGTCAAAAAACTTGAACAATGATCACTAACTGTTGTTCTCATTTCATGAGAACAACAGTTAATTTCACAAAAAGACAAGAAAACTATAATTATCACTGCAGTGCTGAAATAACACAGATAACTGAAAGCACAGTACAAATAAAGAGATGACTTAGACATTTTGTTCGATTTAGATTATAGGTTGATTTATGATGTTAAATTATACCCGGAAATGACAAGAATCCTAAGAATGTGTCCTCTGACAGGATAAGTGATCTGGCAAAACTTCACACGGTATCTGTTAGACAATTTGGTTGAATTTTTTCGGGGGGTCATCAATTTTAAAAATAGAATCTGTCTTCAAAGATTTATTCCCAGCTCTTTTCGAGTTTCACCTTAAAAAAAAATAGATTTGGGTCTTTTTCAACTGCTGTTTCCTAGCGATATTGTAAAAGTTATTCACTTTCGAAAGAGACATTGAGAAAAAAAATCCACCAACCTTTAGTTATTGAATAATTTGTTTACAACATTTGAATAATTGGCTACCAGACAATAATTGGAAGCCTTTTTTCAGAGAACTGCAGATGCCCTAAATCGGGATAAAGTAGTTTTGTCATTGAAATAAAACGTACAAATTGAAAATCTATTGGGAGAAAAAAAAGTTTATAAAAAAAAAAAAAAAAAAAAAAAAAAAAAAAATCGATTTTTTTTTTTTTTTTTTTTGAACACAGGGTTTGTATCTTTAAGCATAAACTCAACATGAGATTCCTCAGACGAGGTTGTTTTCTTTTCTTTGCAACAACAACAAAATAAGTTCTTGTTTAATATTTGCTATTTTGATACCAATTGAAATCTTTTGTACCAATGGTTTTGGAATATCCAACTTTCTCAGTATAAGTCTTATTACAAAAAAGGCCAATCCTTAAAAAAAATATTGTATCCTTGTACGTGGTCATTCCATAAATTTGAGGTCAAAAAATGTGACAGCGTTGTGTCCATGTTACACCTGACCTGTGTAAGTTGCCACACAAGTAATCATTAAAATTGACTTCAAACTGTTTGCTCATTTCTTGGCAGGTACTTTGCTTTACATAATCATTCTTGGAGATAGAGGCGTTAAAGAATGTGTCTTGAATTTAAAAAATCTCATATCAGATGTAACAGGGACACAAAACATTGAATGCCAAATTTATAAAACGACCCACATGTGTACTGTAAATCTTGTTCTCCACTCTAAAACAAAACAAGGTCGTAAATTTGTCGGACTGTGTCCACTTCTTACTGAACATAAGCATGTGTGGTCTAGCATGCATGGTCCCTAATTC